TTTGGTGAACTTAACACTCAAAAATATTTTTATATTTGTCGAGATGCTCATATGTTCCCTTTGCCAATCAGCATAACAAACACTTTAATATATATAGACTTGAGTGGCATTGAGATAACAGTACGGTGTTATGTTTTTTTTCTCTGTGTAAGCTTTACAATTCGCTGTAAAAAGTGCAACAAGTTCAAAGTTGTTTTTGCACGATAAAATCAAAACTGAGGCCGCCAGATGATCGTGCTCCCTACCATGCCATCCCAGCCCATTCCATCGGATCCGATCCGATCCCAGGTGCTGGGATCTTGGAGTGCCGCACACGTTGCTGATTACGATGACGATGTTCAGTCGTTGTGTTGTATTTTTTTTTTCGCCTGACCAGACGCCAGACCGTTGACAAATGACCGGTACAAGTGTTTGTGACAAGCCGCAAGTATCTTTTAGTCGTTTTTTTTCTTCTTTATTATTTCTATTTGCGACGCGGCAAACAGAAAACAATTAAACTTCGGCTCGAAAGATACTGGTGTCTGACCTACGCCAAAGGTTTTCAGCTTAACTTTGAACCTGCCTGCAATCGACTTCGCTCGGGCCACTACCATGTATGCTAATCTCGTGTCAATCACAGGACGATCGAGGAGTATGCAAAAAGATAAAGACGAAACATCGAACCGAACATCCCGGCCAGACAATGGCAATTTGAATTGCAGAACCGATCCCGCTGACACTGAGATCGCAGGAGCTCCAAGTTCCGAGCTCCGATCGTCACTTAATAAATTCTGAAACAGATTTTTGCATGCAGGCCGAAATGGGATGCACCAAAAATTTCAAATTTCCAACTGATATGTTAAGCGGCTGTCAGCAAAGCTCTCTTAGCCCAGTACACTTGACGTCATCTTACGTGAAATGCAAATGAAATGACCAACAATGAAGGGAGCTCGCAGTCAAGTCGAAGTGTCAATACACTTTAGTGGCAGTGATTCAATTACCATTCCCCACTATTAGTTAAAGAAAATTAAAGTGTGATGAGAAGATTTAAGTACATATTGGCAAACATAAAAAAGCTTAAGACTATTATTGGTCTAGATATACATTAAATTATCACTTAATTGATATAAATTTAAAACATAAAACCAATTCAACAGACTGACACACAAAGTAGGTAGTATTTCACTGCCCGAGAAAAGGGTATTAGTACTAAGGCAACGCCACAAAGAAGTCACACACAAGCTGATTCTTCATTCTTGGGGCGTTCTGCCTCGAAAATATGTGCACATATATGTTTGTACATGCAAAATCCAATATGTCTATATAGTATTTCACAAATGCCCAGACCCAGACAGAGATACAGTGCGCTGGCATCCCCATGCCATCCCATCCCATTGAGGTGGCAGGGAAATGGGAACAAACTTGTAAAACGCTTCGAATGTTCGCTCATTGGCGCTGTCAAGAGATCTGGCCCCTCACATGCCCCCCCCTCCTGTCCTCTGGCAAGTGATATAAGCACTAGTGATATGACATGCCAGGTGCCGTTGGATACGATGGGGCTGCTTTCGGATGGTGCTCTGCCCTGTCAACTCACTGGGGCTTTCGCCTTAGATATTGCGCCTGGCCATGACGACAGCGATGCGCTACTAACTCGCATGTAGTTAACCAAAAAATAAGGAAAAATATGCTCAGAGGAAGGGCTAACAGAGACCGTAGTGTTGACACTTGGCTGGGGACTCAACGGGTTGCGGATGTCTGCTGATCTTTAGTCGGAAATCAAACAAAATCTGAGTGGGAATTAGTGGCTGATGATGCCAGTGACGGTGATCTGCTTTGGAGGAAGACGATTTGGGATGATGGGGTTGATCTAGACATATGAGTGGAGAGAAGGGATGTCACATTTGCAAGCGAATCGGTTCAGTTTTCTGGGAAACTAATTGTACAAGTTAATTGTAAAAATTAGGCTTTATTTGGAAAAATAAGCTTTATTCAATATAATTTTCAAGGAATTAAAGATACTGTCTAAATCATCTTTATTTATTGAAGTTTTTGACTTAAAGGAAATAAAATTTCTGAGTTTATGCATTGAATACTAAAAACTTACTAAGCAATTAGTTTGGCCATGGAACTCTTAATGTCGTGAGACATTCCTTAAGTCTTCAGGCGCCCAAAACTCTTGCAGATACCAGCACGCATCCGAAAGATACGCTTTCCCCCCCTTCACTCCTTGAGTGGTGTAAACAAATTGCAACATATGACAGCGGCATTTGACAATTGTAAATGGTCGACGGCAGTGCAAGTGTTCGGCTTGTCTTTTGTTGTCTTGTCTCTCTGCCAGAAAAGAAAACAAAACTGTCTGTGATCCCCGAGGAGAGCTGTGGCCACAGGACATATTGATTTGGCCGGACGAGTGGGCAAGGTCAGGGCTCCCTGCTTATCAAATAGTAAAGGGCACTCAAAAATGTCTGCACATCATGCATCAGTCGGAAGTCTGCCAAGTTTTGGGAAAACTTTACACCGCAGCAGACAAACAAAAAGAGACCCTCTAATGGCAAACTAGAAATATTACTTGCAATATCAAATTTGATGGCCGACTGACAGTGGCAGCAAAACGAAATGGGTCAAGAGTCCGGGCCGGATTAGTGCACTTCAATTTGCCACTCGTGGCCACAACAGTTGGCCAACCATAGTCCGTCTCTATTGCCGGCTGATCCGCATGACTGATGAAGCCGATGGCCGTTGTCTGGTTACTGTCTGCTCGCTGTTTACTTGGTCATTAGTTTCAGCCCATTCAGGATGGCAGCCAGCCAGGGAATCGCAGGAGCTTTTGATGTCGGCGCTTTCCCGACCACACTTAAACTCGCCTTAATTAAATGAGCGGTAATTAATTTCAACTTTAATCAGAAATTCCATTTAGATTTTCGCCGCTGATTGATGTGACCTGACATCTTCCGCCAACGTCACATCGAAGACCACTAAACTGTGACAGCGGCAACAGCAGCGGAAAACTTTCGGAAGTGTGTGTGTGTGTGTGTGTGTGTGTGTGTGTGTGTGTGTGGGGCGGACTTTGTTTTTGGGTTTTATTTAAAGCCAACCACATTTTAAATTTGTATCTTTAGGAAGGCAAGGGCATCACAAAATAAACTTAAGCAGCTTACTTATATTAAAGCATAGCCTCAATAAGAAAATCAAATAAAATAATTTACTTTTATTGAAGTCAAACCATTTCACGTATTGAATTAAACTTCTCACTACGCTTTATTGCGTTCTGAGCAGTCTAGAACTTGAAAGCATTAAGATGACATTTAGTATATTTTATATATTTTTATTTAAAAACAGTTTTTACTCAATAAAATAATTTAAAATAATATAAGAGTGCCGATGCCAAATTAAATACAAAAAAAAATTGGTATTTCAATTTCTGTTGGCAAATAACAAATTTTGTTTTCATTTATTGTAGTCCCACTTTTTATAGTATTAAATTACAAACTTTTAAATGATTAATTTAGTTAATTTGATTAATTTTTATTCAAAAGTTTTAACTCAATATAATAATTTAAAAACAATATGGGAATGCCGATATCAAATTATTTCTTATGATAAATAGCTAAATATTAATAAAATACACAAAAGCTAAAGCTTTACTTACCAAAAAAATATATTCTTCTTTAAGGCCAGAGTAAAACATTGACTTAATAGACCTCTGATTAATGTAAAATAATGCAGCCCAACATAAAAACTATTTTCCATTTAGCAAATGGGCCATGACCCATATACAATTAGTGGAACTTGGAAATAAGCGAGACAACAATCCCCCAAAAACGAGCCAGCGGTTGCCGTCTATCACATTGACTGACTGCCACACATTTGCCAGATATAAATACTAGAGATACTGTGTCTACGGCTGAACTGCCTCAACTCTTTGCCGCGTATTGGAAAGCCAAAACAAAGCGGGCGGGCCAATTGAGTTGGCCGTAATAACACGCCATGGTAAATGGCTTTTAAAAGTCTACTTTGCCGTAGCACGCCCCCTCATTATGAACGACGCGCTTCGAACGCCCTCGTGCGGCTTGCCAGCGCAAAAGCCGCGATTCAGATGACAGAAAAGTTTTCGGGGACGACCTGCCGAGAACGGGAAATTGTCATTATCTTCCGCGATTGCAGATACAAGGATACTGGGGAACGGGGCAAGATGGTTTTCGGCAAGCGACAACCATCTGTCTGCGGCGAGATACCTTCTCGTACCCCTTTTCTTGGCAAAACACAATAGCAAGTATGAACTTTTCGGGTGCCACCAAATGGCAGTTTGACACGTCATATTTATGAAATGCGCAACGTTGCAGAAAATCACAATATAAATGAGAAAATTAACTGCCTCGGAGCGGTGAGAAAGCTAGATTGGAGTGGGGCATCGGGTGGTGTTGTCCACTTGAACGTTTGACGATTGCCTAGGAACGCCTTCAAATAGTTTTTGGCAGAAACAAATGCTTCCTAAGGGAACGGCAAAGATAAAAGTGGGGTAGGAACATTTAAACACGATAGATATTCAAATTCATATTTCAATACGTTTGTATATATTTAATTTAAAAAAAAAGTTTAGTGTTTTGCTACTGAACTAAAAAATATTTTATTTGAAAGCCAAGATTTTTTTTTGTGGTTCTGTAGTGTATCACTGAAGATATTGAACAATAGATTTTATTTTATTACTATTTTTCCGGTGTACATATGTAAATACTATGTATAACTTTGTAATGTACATATTTGCAATACAAAGTTAGTGGTATCTAAAAGCAGGAGAAAAGTGTGATTCCAAGATTATTTTATTTCAATTGCTTCTTAAATTAAATTATTAATTTAACTATCATTTAAAAGTCAATGCACGTGATATTACATTATAAATTTAATTACGTCAATACCCTGCACTATAGTATTTTGTGTAACCTAAAGTAAATAATAAGAGGTTATTTATAAGTTAATAAGTTTCCCATCGAACTAACACGTTTCCCCACTTCTTCCTGCAGGTACTGTGAATGCCAATGGCGAGACGAAACGACAACGGACCTCATACACCCGCTACCAGACGCTGGAGCTGGAGAAGGAGTTCCACTTCAACCGCTACCTGACCCGCCGCCGCAGGATCGAGATCGCGCACGCCTTGTGTCTCACGGAGCGCCAGATCAAGATCTGGTTCCAGAACCGGCGCATGAAGTGGAAGAAGGAGCACAAGATGGCCTCGATGAACATTGTGCCCTACCACATGGGTCCCTATGGCCACCCGTACCACCAGTTCGATATCCATCCGTCGCAGTTCGCGCACCTGAGCGCATAGGACGCGTGGCACTTTTCGGGTACTGGTTAGAGACTCAATCAGTTGTATCAGGAACCATATCAGACGGCGGCGGCGGCCTCGGCGGCCAGCGGCTACCAGTCGCAAGACGGCGGCGGAGGTGGCTCCGTGGGGGTGGGAGTGGGTGGTGGTGCGGGGTCAGTTGCACTGACCGCCAACGGCGGCAGCAATGGCAACGGTCCCAACTCCCTGTTCGCCTCCACCGCCCCCGGCTCCCAGGCGACCGACTGCATCAAGTATCCGCAGGAGTTCTGATCTCAGGTTATCATCAGGCAGCAGCAGCTGCATCAGCAGCAGCAGCAGCAGCAGCAGCAGGATAGCCCCGTGGATCGCATTCAGGATCCGGGGCTCGAGCAACTCTTGGAGCCGGACTGTGAGCCCGACCAGGAGTTGCTGCTGGACTTCAAGGCGGACATTGTCGGCTGCAATTTGTTCTGCTGCTGAGATCTGTCCGCCTGCCACGCCCCTGCCGCTTCCAGCCTACCGCCTACCGCCCATCGCCTACCGCCTGTCGCCGCCCGTCGATCAACCAACATCCAGTGATGTTTCTTGTTTGCAACTGATTCGTGTTAAGCTAAGAAACGAGCCATACACCGATGGTTCGTTTGGGTTTATGATACTGGAGGTTGTACCCCGAGCAATCGCAATCCCACTCATCACATTTTCAAATGTTAAATAATAAAATCTTCAAAAAGCAAAGCAGATACAAATTTGTAAGATGCATTCAAATCTAGTAATTAACATATCAAAATGGCTCACTTTCTTATTGATATTTGATGCTAATTGACCGTTGGATCATACGGATATGATAAGTACTTCTTCAAAGTTGTTTCTAAACCTTTATAAGCGAGTGCTCGTGGGTCCTTCCAGTATGATGAATCTCTTTCTCTAAGCAGTATTCGAAAAGCTGTTAGTTCGTAAGCCTAGCATAATTTTAGTCTCTAAGCAGCACAGATGAACAGACAGAGCTGTCGAGTTGAACAAAACTAATATCTGCAATAATTTCAAAGTGATTTCTAATTAACATTAGTTCTTCGTTTGTACCACCCAAGACCCAGACCCTGATCCTAACCAACCAACACCCCACCCAGCACCCTCCAGGGAGTCCTCAAGAGTGTACTTAATTCCTAGCTAGTAGAGAACCTTACTCTAGTTAACCACATAAGGCTTTGTTTAGTTTGTAAATAGCAGAGCGTTCCAGCTCGCCTTTTTATGTTTGTGTTTCGTCTTGGAGAGAAAATTTCGGAATTATCTGTAACTGTTCAATTTATTTTGTGCGCTTGCGTTTGTGTTGTTAAAAGTGCTCTAGCGGCTCGAAAAATGCTTTACTAATTTTATCAAAAATCAATCGTTTTTAATTGCCACTGAAGGACAAATTCGGAAGTTAAACAGGAAATAAAATATTTCAAAATTAGCATAGAACTTGCTATAGTTAATCAGGATTTTCTTTGGAACAACAGCTGACCCTTCCAGATTATTTATTCAAAGGCCTCTCAACAATGTCTGTACATTTAATTCGGTAGTTAATCGATACAGTAAGCCAACGAAATTTTATTAAAGCGAGAATTGTTAAAGCCTAAAGCTAAAGGAAACCCATAATCGTAATGTAAAGTAATTATTTATGCTGTACTTTTCGCTAAGCTAAGGTTAGTGCATTCTAGAACTATCGGTAGTCTATGTGAACCTAGCTCGTAAGCCTAAATTATGTATATCGAATTAGCAAGATAAATTTTAGAGAAAACAAATCAGAATGAGCAAGGCGAAGCAAAACGAACAAAACTATGGAAAATGAGAGAATCAAACAAAAAATACCTAGCACAAATTAATTAATCGTTTTTTGTTTCCCATTTTGTACATTTGTTCAATCTTAGTTTGTACATTTTCGATTGTTTGTTTAATGCAATTTGTCGGATCCGTAATGAAATGATTTTCCCAATCGATTGAATGAAACACCATTCGAAGTTTCGGGTTAAGGGGGCACTCACTGTCCGCCAGGCACAGTGGGCGCAAAAAGTTTAACTGCATTCCATGTAAAATAAAATTACGCAACTAATTTTTAAAGAAATTCGCATGTATGTATTACCTTAATCTGGGTTCGATTACAAAGGCAATTATTATAAAAAAAAATGCAATCGAAAACAAAAACAGATAAAACTTCAACTACCACGAAAACAATACAAATATAAATAAAAACAAAACAAGTATGTAAACATGTATGAATATGGAAAAAATAAAAACTATTTTAAATTGTACACGTTTATATTTTGATAATGATCTTGGATTGGACTGGGAGGGACCTACGTTCCTATAAGTAGAGTTGTCTGGCCGCTGACGTTCGAATGCCCGGATAGCTCAGTCGGTAGAGCATTGGACTTTTAATCCAAGGGTCCAGGGTTCAAGTCCCTGTTCGGGCGGCACTACTTTTTTGTTTATATGGAGTCTTTTTCGCAAGGACATGACGTTATTTTTTGGCGTCTTAAAAATAGTAAACAAAACTCCTTTAGATTAGAGGATCTAAGCAAATATTTTTGCATCCTTTGACAAATCTGTGTTGCTCGTTGGCATTACAATGTATTTGAAAAGCTCCAGACAAAGACAACTAACGCAGCCGATTCTGAGTTCTTCGGGACTGGAAAAAAGAAATGGAGCAAGAAAAATATTTTTATTCCGCGGAGCAAAAGATTGTGGTCCAATCATATTGGTTGGGCTGATAACGGCAGTTCACTCCGGTACGCTATCCCACTACTGCCTACCACGGGAACTCTTGGCTGCTGGTTTTCACCCCTGGCCCGGTTCATCCCTCCTTAGCCAACCTGAATGCCGCGGACTCCTCCATGGCACCCATATTGATGGCAAGCTTAGTGCGGACGTTCCGTCAACATGAGCTGGTCCGCTACACAGTAGATCCCAGCCTCAGGCCATCCCACAATCGGACCTCACAGAAGCGTGATTACAGAAGCTGCCAACCTTCCAGTCGAAATGCTGCCGACTAAAACCCAGCCAGACGTCACTGTTTGGGTTCGGGTGAAAGTGAACTACCTTACCGATGCACCACTTCATCGACACGAAGCAGGTTTAATAAACTGCTTTATCGACAGCCGCGTTGCCAACCGAAGAAGTTTGATTAAAGCAGTCATTAGCCTCAGCGCCATGACCATTTCCCACGACAGCAGGAATATAGCCATAATTAACTATTTTGGCTTAAAATAAATTTTTTTAAAAATAAAAAGAAATTTCGCCCGAGCAGGGACTTGAACCCTGGACCCTTGGATTAAAAGTCCAATGCTCTACCGACTGAGCTACCCGGGCACTGTAACCGGCGCCGGCAAATTTCACGGGTTTTTAGAAAGCAGTAAAATAAAACTCCCTAAATTATATCCTTTGCATTTTAAGTTGAGGTTTTTGCTATGTGATAAACAGTTTTCATCGATTTTTTAATATGCTATAGTAGTTCTTTAGAAAAAAATTTAATTTGGTATAGAAAGATTGCGAATTGTCCCATGCAAAGCTTATTTCGAAGTATTTGTCAAAAAACAAAAATGTATAATTCCATTCAGTAATGAAAAATATTTAAAAAATCAACTTTTTAATGCATAGTTTTCTGATGTTTGGTGACAATGGTTGTTTGCTATTACTATAGCATAGTGAGAGTTAAGTGACAAAGAAATTGAGACATGGTAGATGACAGATATTAGGAGGTATACTTTTTTACAAATCATTTTTTAAAAGTCAGTTAAGTTTTAAATCATCGCCAATTTGAAAGGCGAAAGGTTAACTCATAGTATTGACCCTGCAGCCCAGCAGATAGTGCGAACCGATTCTTTGCTGGAGGCAAAAAAAAAATTGTAGTATAAAATTAAAATAGGGGCAGATTGTTAAGATTAGTATAAGTCAGCTATCGATTGCCTAGCGTGATTATTGTGTCCACATTGACGAAAAGAAAAAAAAATTTAATCTTTCAGGTTGGAGCTGGCAAAGCATAGTATTTGTCGGATCAAAAAAGTGATGAAAATAAGAAAAAAAACCCAAAAACCGTCTACAATAATCAAATCTTGACGACAAAATATTTGCGATCCATTTTGATGCCTATTACATATGCGTATTATATATACATATACAGTATTGATAAATGCAAAGGATATAATTTAAGGAGATATATTTTACTGCTTTCTAAATCCCCGTACAATTCGCCGGCGCCAATTACAGTGCCCGGGTAGCTCAGTCGGTAGAGCATTGGACTTTTAATCCAAGGGTCCAGGGTTCAAGTCCCTGCTCGGGCGATCGTTGCTTTTTTTTAAATATTTATTTTAAGCAAAAATCGTTAATTATTGCTATATTCCTGCTGTCGTGGGAAATGGACATGGCGCCGAAGCTAATGACTGCTTTATTCAAACTTCTTCGGTTGGCAACGCGGCTGTCGATAAAGCAGTTTATTAAACCTGCTTCGTGTCGATGAAGTGGTGCATCGGTAACGTAGTTCACTTTCACCCGAACCCAAACAGTGACGTCTGGCTGGGTTTTAGTCGGCAGCATTTCGACTGGAAGGTTGGCAGCTTCTGTAATCACGCTTCTGTGAGGTCCGATTGTGGGATGGCCTGAGGCTGGGATCTACTGTGTAGCGGACCAGCTCATGTTGACGGAACGTCCGCACTAAGCTTGCCATCAATATGGGTGCCATGGAGGAGTCCGCGGCATTCAGGTTGGCTAAGGAGGGATGAACCGGGCCAGGGGTGAAAACCAGCAGCCAAGAGTTCCCGTGGTAGGCAGTAGTGGGATAGCGTACCGGAGTGAACTGCCGTTATCAGCCCAACCAATATGATTGGACCACAATCTTTTGCTCCGCGGAATAAAAATATTTTTCTTGCTCCATTTCTTTTTTCCAGTCCCGAAGAACTCAGAATCGGCTGCGTTAGTTGTCTTTGTCTGGAGCTTTTCAAATACATTGTAATGCCAACGAGCAACACAGATTTGTCAAAGGATGCAAAAATATTTGCTTAGATCCTCTAATCTAAAGGAGTTTTGTTTACTATTTTTAAGACGCCAAAAAATAACGTCATGTCCTTGCGAAAAAGACTCCATATAAACAAAAAAGTAGTGCCGCCCGAACAGGGACTTGAACCCTGGACCCTTGGATTAAAAGTCCAATGCTCTACCGACTGAGCTATCCGGGCATTCGAACGTCAGCGGCCAGACAACTCTACTTATAGGAACGTAGGTCCCTCCCAGTCCAATCCAAGATCATTATCAAAATATAAAACGTATACAATTTAAAATAGTTTTTATTTTTTTTTCCATATTCATACATGTTTACATACTTGTTTTGTTTTTCTTTATATTTGTATTGTTTTTGTGTAAGTTTTGTTTTAAGATGTTTTTTCGAATACAGTTAAACCCATTTGAGCATTTTATGTCGCATTCAAGGGAAATATATTAAATATGCACATATAAAAATGAAAAGTTAACTACACTATTTGCCAAAAATAAAAAAAAAACATAATTTAAAATGAGCAACATAATATTTGTACTTTGTACAAAGATAATTCCGTCAATTTTGCAAAACCGTTTTTTTTAAAGTAATTTTTCAGTGCCAAAAAGTATTTTAAAAAAAGAGATTGCAACGGCCTTAACTGCTTGGAGTCAATATCGGAGCTTTAAGGTACAGTGAAACAATAATACCCCAATAAAGTAAACCCCAGTGTTGACTTGAAGCAAGTTAAGGAAAAAAAGATTAAAAAGATGACATGCAAAAAATTGGTTTATTACAAAGTTAAAAAAGAAAACAATATAAATGGTATTATAAAAGAATATAGGTTTAGTTAATTTTAATATAAAAATAAAAATTTGTACACCGCCAAGTTAAGACAACCTTTTAAGCTTTTTGTGAAGCTTTTCTGGACTGCTTTACACTGCTTGATATATCGCGGTCGCTTTGTTTATATAGAACACTTTGACGGCAATAATCTACAACGCCCGGGTAGCTCAGTCGGTAGAGCATTGGACTTTTAATCCAAGGGTCCAGGGTTCAAGTCCCTGCTCGGGCGAACCACTTTTTTTTCTCTCTCGACTGTTTCTTTTGGAGTTGTAAAATATTATATTCAAATAAGATCAACTCTATGCAGCACTCTGTAATTTTTCAGTTCTAACAAGTCGTGCATAGCAGAAAAACGAAACTTGAAGAGAAATCGTACAGCAGCCAGGCATCTAATTGAACCCTCATGAAATTAGCACCTCTTATTTGTATTTCCATTTACTGCCACTGTCGACATCGTGGATATACCCAAATTGTGTGCTCTGCAACGTTTTCTCTGCTTCACTGTTATGTGTCTGTAAGGGTTTGATAGAGATTGTGTGAGTGCTATGTTTGCTAGACTCCGGCGGTAAAACGAAGAGCCTGGCGTTTATTGCTGGTCGTCTTTGAGGCACACAGACAAAATATAAAAAATGTTTTCAGTAAACCAGATTTTTATAATTTAAACACATTGAAAGATATAGTTTTCATTTCAGGAGAGATCTATTGATATACGAATTACTATCGAACTAGACCACTATTGATTTAATAAAGTTTTCATATGGTAAATTATAAATACAAACTTTATAAGCATTTGCTGTGATTTTTTTCAGTGCGACTGGATACGCTCAAGAATTTTTGACACACTTTCCTACCCCGCCGAAGACACAGAAGACGGGTACATATAGTGTGTACCGATACCAAATCGTGGCGGCTCTGGTCGATTTAGCATCGGACTTGGATGCTGGCTGTTTGTTGCCCTACCGCCGCCTGCCAAGTGAACTAGAAAACGAATGCGTTTAATTAGCATTCATTACGACGAATCATCAAATTGCCCCACCGCTCACGATGCAACAATAAAAGCAGGGACGAACGGCCCGAGAGGAGAAAACGTTTGGTGTACCTGCTAATCTACAAAATAAACGCAAATATTTAGATGATAAACCAAAGTCAAGATACGTTTTCAAAACTGTTCCATGACGTTGGATGATACGCTAGGGAGAAATTCCTTCAAGGCTGCGACCATTAGCAACATCTTACCTGTTGTTGGGCCAAAACTCTGCTTCGTTTCAGGTAGCCATCGTATAAAAAAGGAAAACCGAAGGGAAATATGGGCCATAAATTAAAAATGGCAAACAGAATGGGACAATGGATTTCCCTCGTTAGGGGAAATATTTTTGTTCGGTCGTTTATGACAGATTCCCAAAACAGAAATGGCGAATGTCAAAATATTCTTAAGTTTTTTAGGATTGCATCTGCCTAACGATGTTGCGAGGAATTACGATTTTAAGTAAGAATAAATTCTGAGATCGGTCAATCGTCCAAACTGAAGAGATACAGATTTTTTTACTTAAAAATATTGATTTCGTCGTTTGTTGTTTTTAATCATTGCTTTGAATTTTAATCGGCCCAAAAGAAGATACATTTTTTCTCACAGATTACTCCCCATTCAAAAGAAGCTAATAGATATGTTGCCTTTTATCAGCTTTGATAAGAGAGTTGGCAAATAATTACACTTAATGGTGTCCCCTTCGATGGCTAACTGTGTAATTATCAATGCAACAAATTTAAATTTAACGAGCGCATCAACACCAGACTCCGCCCACAGCCCCTAGTCCCAGCCTCGATGAATGGGGTCCTTCAGGACCTCTCGAGGACCTCAAGTCTCCCCAGCACGAAGGTTTTTCTCGGCAAAGCGACGCTCTGATTAATGAGGCTTTAAATATCCCACTTTGATTTCATTCTGAAAACACGCGGAGCGTTCACATCGCCGTCTTCCGACAAAGAAGTTTCATTGACTCTCAGCTCGTTGGAGAAAACGAAAGGGGGAGTCACACAGACTTGTATACACACATATACGAAAAGGGGAGCTGTGCTGGCCTCGTAAATTGCCGAGTGTGCTGAGGTCCTCCTACGCACACACGCGAAAATCTATTGGACAATTGAGCACTTCTGGAAACAGAGTCCACAAATGTCTACAAATGAAATGAGCTGGATTTGTTCAAACTCTACAAGCACAAACACACGTTGTTGTGCCCTGGAAAACTTAGAGCAGGAGTTGCTACACTTGGCGAAACAGTCCAGGAGGAGAAGGAACTGTTCTCCCAATAAATGTTCTGTAAAGTGGGAAGAATAAGTTTAGGTTTGTAAGAAATATCTCTGATGTTGTTTTCTTGAGGCAAGCTCCTGTTAAGCACAACTAAAAGAGTTAAAAATTCATAATGTAGCCCTCTAATTAAATTGGCTTCTTAAATTTGTTGGTTTTTATTTTTGATTTTGGCTTTCAATTTTATGTACATATTGTAACAGGAACTTTCTGTACTTAAAAAAAAAAAAGACTACCATTATTAATTACGTTAAATTTGTTTTCACAAAAGAAGATTGCTTTTGTTTTATTGATTTTAAGCACGTAAATATTTAATTAAAATCTCATTAAAATTATGAAGGAACTTAAAAGCAAAAAAAGCTATTAAAACATTTGCAATACTATATATACTATGGACGAAAACAAACATTTTCTATTAAAGTAAAATTTAAACAGATAAGCATAATTGTATTAATATGCACAATAAAATGATTCATAGCAGAAAATCAAATAAAGAATTATGTAATCATATTAACTGCCTTGCCAAATATGAAAATATACGCTCAATTTTATCTGTGTCATTATACCGTATCTAATGAGTAGGAGTACGAATAATGAAATAAGTAAACAACTAAATTCCAGAGGATGGAGTAGGGGCTATTTTTCTTTAAGTGTAATAGAACGGCTCTCTTCTGCAGCCTGGCTCTCTTCGCGAGCTCTCCACACGACGTCCCTGCCCCGATTCTCTCCCTGGAGTTTCGTGCTTGGGCTTGGGCCACACACAACCCAGATCCAGACCCAGATCCAGAAGCAGAGCCAGATCTCGGGGAGGGTAGCGGGGAGCGGGAAGCGGGAAGCGGAGGGAGAGCGGGCCGGGCATTATGGCTGTTATCAACTTGGCAAAAAACACCGCTTACCGCTCGGCGGACGTCGACTGCGCTGAAATGGTGAGCTGAGCTCACTTCAGTTTCAGTTTGAAATTTGACGCCGAGCGCGGCGGAACGTGAGCGTTCTGCTCACGGCAAAGGCGGCCATCGTCCGCCGCTGCTTCTGCTGGCGTCGCTGCAGCAGAGGCGGACAGAGCAGCCATTATCCTGCAGGATGCTGCGACCTGATCCCTGGGCCGTGCCATGCAATTAATATGGCTGCGAATAAACGAATAAATAACTGGTCGATTAGTACGAAAACAGATTAAAAAAACTCGGTGCCAAAGTGTTCGAAATGTAAAGGAATTTTAATCCTGAAATGTTATTAAAAATACAACTTTAAAAACGTTTAGTTAAAATGGATTTAAGGCTGCACCCTCCAGCGTATTCGAAACAGGTACGTTCTAAAGTTCGAAAATTCATACAAAAGTAGAATTGCTAAAAGAAAATATGCTGAGCAAAAGTCACCAGATAGTTGTACGCATGTGCATTAAGAGGGGGCAGAGTGGGCGGTCTGGCGGTCTGGTGGTCTGGTGGTCTGCGGGTGGCAGTGGCACAGTCAATTGCCATTTCCAAAGCCTGCGCCTGTCCTCGTTTCGACTCGTCGTCGCCTCTGTATAAGTGTATCTGTGTGCTCCGTTTCGAGCGTGTAGTGGTGTCGCGAGCGCCCGGAAATGTGCTCCTTTCATCCACTTTTCATTTGCGCAGAGCACAACCCCCTCTCACCCTTGCAATTCCAAAAGTCGGGCGCAAAAAAAAAAATAGAAAAAACCCGAAACCGAATTTCAACCTCGTTGTCGCGCTATCAGCAGCAGCAGCAGCAACAACAACCCCCAGTTAACCCAACCCCCTTTTCCCTTTTCCCGCTTACCAATTTTCCCCGCTTCGGGTGGAAAACACTTGTCCCGCCATTTAGTGCATGGGTTAAGTAGTATACCGAAATATTAGTGCTGTGCCGAAGAAAGCGGCGACAGCTGCTGCAGGCCACCCACCCAGGCACACCCACCCACCCATAATCCCGCTATGGAATCAGGGTTGAGGGGGAGGCTGGGGCCAAGAAGATGATTATCGGCTCCAGATACGCCAAGTGGCAAAGTGTTAAGCCTCAGGCTGAGAACGGGATGGTGAAGGTGGCGGTGGCGATGGTGACCCAACCCCTAGTTTTCCTGCGGCGGCTGCAGTTAATGTACATAGCAGGCTGCAAGCTGCTACATTAAACGCACTGGAAAAAAATTCATGTACACTTATGACTCCAAAAATATAGCTTAGGATTTTTTAAAGTAAATTTTCGCTACCTTCAATTTAATTTGCAGATTTTATTATTCATCTTAAAGTAATCAAATAGAAAAATAGACTTACTCAATCGGATTTGTAATTACTTTTTTACTTGCTTTTTAATCTTTGTTAATGAGTGACACTTCAAATGTTTAGGGAAAGCAATAAGCTTTTAAAATCTTAAATTAAACATAATTATTTTAATTCAACTATGTCTGGTTTCTAAGACTTCACTAAAAGCTGCTTATAGATTAATTGGGGTGTCCGAAAATCTCAATGCATTTTACAAATAAAAAAATATAATTTTTTAAACAACGACATTTTGTCTAAACTTTAAGTGTTTTGTTTTCCTATCTGATTTCTGATAGGGGATAATCAAGATGACCAGGCACTTTTTTCTGTGTCAATGCATTTACCCCTAAAAACACAGTGCTTCTGTGCAAATTTTGCGTGGGGCTGCGCGTAAGGTGCGTGTCATCCGATTTGTGGCCAGGGATGCGCAGCTTTCGCTTCGGGAATCCCCCTCCAACAATCTCGCCCTTCGGATGAGGTCGAAGCGTTAGAGAAAGCAGCTGCACTCAAAACTAAATCGTTTTTTGGACTGTTTTCCGTTTTTACCAATTGTTTCTTTGCTCATTTAATATGCAAATGGTTCGAACTAAAACCGGCAACTGACTAATAACCAAATGAGCAGGTGACGGCTAACAAAACTGGCTAGGCTACAGGCTTTATAGGAAAAGCAAAGTAAATAAGAGTTTATGGCTATTTTATGCATTCGCTGACGTCGGCTATTGGAACCATGGCCTGTCGGCCAGCGGCTTTTTGTGGCTTTTGACAAATTCGGAGACGAGACCTGTTCGTCTCACAGTTGGCTGATATCTTTATGAAGGTGCTGTGCCACATTGTTTTCGTTTGTTTTTCGGTTGGATTCAGGTCAAAGCCTGAATCTGAATCATAAATTCGCCTGGGCTGTTGTATAATTATTCAGCTTGTCCACATGGCCCACAAAATGCATGCAATGTTGGCTCAAATTCCGCTGGGCAATTAAAACCTTTTACAAGGGACCTAAGCTGGGAAATGTTTGGTTTAGAGGGTGTGCCTGAGATTAGATATGAATTTCTAAAAGTTTGCATTGGGAATGTGCCGCTCATAAATATGAATGACGGAGCGGAGAAAAGTGTTAAACGTTTCCAGATTCAAATCTGTTGACTGTTAGCGAGAAGTCTGTTTCACAGTCCACAGTTTTGTGTCAATGGGTCACCAAACAATTGAGGCTAAGTTGCATAAGTGCATATATGCAAAAAAGACAGCCAGAAAAATAACCAACGCGTTTGCTCTGACGGATTTATTATTTTTTTATGGTCTATTCAAATCTATTGAATTTTGAATATATTTATTGAAGGCACAACGCCTTCTAATTTATTTCACAAAAATCCCACAATAAAAATAGCAAACAAACAGACCTAAAATTAAATCTTTGAAATTAATGATGCCAAAACCGGAAATATTTTAATTGCTTACAACCTGAATTCTCACGTCAGATCTAGCCAGCATGAGCTGCACAAATTATTGAAGCCCTAGCCCACAATATTTGGAACCCCAAAATTCCCCGGAGAAATAACCTCAGAGCCGACCTTGCCACATGCTACATTTTTTATGAACATATTTCCTTATCGAATTTCTGATATTAACATACCCTTAGTACTCCATCTCTAACATCCCGTTCAACCCCAAGAGTACGTATAACCAAACACAAATGAGCTGGGAACTTCTTCCACTGAAATTGGGGTAACTGCAGTATGACATATTTATTGGAATTTCATGCAAATTTTGAAACAATCAGCCAGTCGGGAGAATGCAGCTGGCCTGGGAACTTGCACTTTATGAAGTGCACAGTGAACTCAACCCGAAAATATCAGTGCCGAGCTAACTTGGCTATTTACTTTTCTATTGATTTGATACACAACCAGCGAACATATTTCGAGAACATCAGAGTCAATCAAATTTTACTTACATTTAAATCGTTTCTTGTTAATAATATTTCCTTAAAATGTTGTTTATTAAATCCCATTTTTGTTTTGGTATATTAAAATAGTTTACTTTTTAAGGCCGAACTTTTGTAACTGCTTAAAGAAGCATACAAACTTTGTGTAGTAATTTTGCGTAAATAAGATATTATTAGCCAACATGTGTGATGCAGTTCTTGGTTTGCAAACACTCTAACCCACTGTTCCCTACGCCTTAAACGCCACCTGGGAGCGAATTTCTGTTACCCGCGCATTTTCATTATGCCCAGTGAAAAGATAAATTAAGACACTAAAAATAAATAAAATGCAAAAGGAAGGCGCGTATTTTTGTAAACAACAAACAGACACCGACAATATCGAGTAGAATAAAACGAAGACGCAGACCGGTATGCGAACCCCATGCGATGGATATGGGGTAAAGGTACCGATACCGATACCTATACCTTTACCGATACCTATACCTATACAGATTCGGATACAGATGTGCAGATACAAAATGCCGCAAAGCTGGGCAGGTTCAAAATAAATGCAAAAAAAAAAAAACAAAAAACGCGAACCGCGAACCGTTTTCGGAATTTCTTTCTGAGTTCTCTCTTCTCATTTCTACCTGCCTCTCGATTTTCGCGGCGAATGGCAGGAAGGTGAAGTAGCAACAATAATATTATTCAGTAAACTGAAACAACCTTGGCCTCCGAAGCTCGGCGCTCGATGCAAACAACTCAACATGGCAGTGGGGCTACAGTGGGCCAACAGTGATTGAATAGTGACGCGCGAGCCCAATGCACAGTGACACTTGGCACCGACGACGGCCAAGGTAAATGATCTGTCACCTCCCCACGCCCCACATCATCTCTCCACAGACAGGGCACTTTGATTTATGTGCGAAGTTGTCTTCATGTGCTAAAAGCAACATTGCAAAAATTTAGCCAGTCATTGCCCCTTTGTTGCCGCCGTATCTGTTGCTGGTCGGTCTATGGTTTATGGGTCTGACCAGGGAATAGGTTAGCGTATGGCAAGGGGGAGATACACTGAAGAAAATACGGACTCTTTTCCTTAAAGGAAAAAATAATTAAAAACTGAGAAGAAAATGCTTGATTGTTTATTTCATGTTTGCCCTTATTGGTTACTGCAGCAATTTGATTAGATCACCACATTACCTAAAAATATATAAGATGTAAGACTTTAAAATTGCATTCACAAATATTGATATTTATTATTTTATTTATTTGGAGTTCGCAAAACTAAAACAAAATGCATTTCTAGTTAATAAAATTGTATTAAAATTAATACACTGTAGACTAAATTAGAAAATTATAGGTGGTAATAATAATAATTTCCTAATTATGAGATAAATAATTTTGTTCTGTGTACAGGTGACTGGGGAAGATACGCATTCTTTACTCGCCTATTGTACGCTTTTCGCAGTACTTCCGGAGGGGATTGCTCTTCGGCTTTCTCTTTGAATCTTCCTACTGTTATTGCATCTGAGGGCAAAATGTAGTCGCCTGATGAGTTAGAAATTTCAACACAATAGAACACATTGATTGAGTGATTCATGTGGCTTACAAAACTGAGTTATTAGGTAAGCTGAAACTAATTAATGGACTTCCAAAGCTTGCGGCTCGATTGAAAATCGCTTCTGGATGGCTATCGGCGAACAAAAATAGCAAAAGTATTTCCAAAGGCAGCCAAAATAATATCTGACACGCTCGTACATCATACTTATCAAAACACAGATATGGGCACAGATATCGGGGGAATACTTTGTAAATTAATTAATCAATGTTTGAAGGTAACAATGAAAAGACAATTAAATAAGTATGTCGAATTAAAGATAAATTTTGATCAAAAATATTAAAGTCATAATTAAAGTTATTTGCGGGACTGAAATATTTCAAACTATCTTGGATAATAGTACAAATAAAATCAAACTATTTAAATAATATGACCAAAACAAGAATTATTGGGCATTGAACTTTGTTTGTAAAGGAATACACACAGTTTATTGATAAACCATAAAAATTTGGCTTAGAAAATATAGTTAAAGTTGTTTGTTATGCGAAGTCAACTTTCTAATAACAGTCAATGAATAAACAGGCGGTAAATATGAGGCTTAAATATAAATTTAGAGCATATTAAAATTCAATGTGCTGATTTGTCTTAGCGAGGAACTCACTAAATTAAGTACGACTACGCATAATTTGAGTGACTAGCTTGTCTAAAAATATAGTTTTTAATACTTTTCTATGACTTCACTATCATTAGCATCTCGGCATGACTGTACACAATGCGCGTGAATTGTAGTTTCGTTAACTAAAAACGCTGCCAAACTCACAATCCATCGCTCATTTGGGCGCAACAAATTAACGACAGATCTATTATTTCCATAATATATTTAATGCTGCCAAATATTTGCACTGCATTAGCGAGCTTCGGCTTGGGAGGCCGTCGAGCATGTATATTTCCTGACAATTTCGCCTTAAGTGTGAGCCACTGACCACGTGAAATCAATTAGCATTTCTGATTCGGGGGTGTTGTTGGGGTGATGTAATGTGTGTTTTTGCGAATTTCGATTTGGCAAGACGGCGCTAATTTGGCCAAGGTGCTGAAATATGGAGCACTCTGGCTTCCCTGGCTTCAGCCGGACGATCAGTTAATTAAACGCGACTTCGGCCCAGCTGCCTTTTGGCTGCCTGGTCCTTCACCCCGATTCGGTCTCTCTCCTGAAAGTCCTTGCTACCCCTTGTGGATTGTGTGTACACATTTGGAGAGCTCTCTGTCTCTCCCTCTCTCCGTATCTTCCTCTCTCCCTCTCTTTGTCTGTTTTTAAGGCAGGGTAAGGTCCTGAGCAGCCATGTTGAGGCTGCAAAAAGGACAACAAGGGCTGCAGACAAAGAGGCACCGCAGGCAGACAGAGAGAGAGAGAGAGAGAGAGAGAATAGGACAGGGAGTTTTAGAGGGTGTGCAAAGTCAAACGATTCGTCCTCCTTCCTTTGTTTACGCAAGATTTGTTGCCATTAAGGCCCTAATCCGGGGGATTTCTAGGCTAACCCGTCGGCACCGAAAAGGTTTTTGACTTTGCCAGCTTAGTACTGTCTAAGCCTGCCGTTTAGTGCTAATGAATACTGCCAAAAAGTCATTAATTAATTGAAATTTCATTACAGGACACACGAACTATGTCGGAGCATCTGCCACATCGGAACCCCCCTCCCCCCACCCCCTCTCCGGGCATTACTCAGCAGTCTTAGCAGGGCTTAGTGATGAATCATCGCCACCATCGTTACCGATTCACCGATTCACCGATTCGGAGCAGGGACACCAAGAAGGCTTAAACTGGCGCCCAACTTCCACCGGCGACGGCGATCCAGGTCGGGAGCTTAGCGGGGCGACTCGCTGATTGATTTCAGTGCAAACAGAGGGACCCGCACTTAGATCTATCATTCATTAAATGTGCTTCTTGTCTATCCAATTTCCAGGCCTCGCACCTATTTTATCGACGCGAAGAAAGTGCCGTAATCCGCCGGCAATCAATTAGATACAAGCGCACTAAGCACTCCCAAAGACATCGCAGCCGTATCTTATCTTATCGCCGCTTCTTCCGATAAGGTCGGGCATTACTTTCCGTCCTCTGTTTTTTTTTTTTTTCGGACTACTGCCTAATCTCGGGGCACTCGCTGAGGTCTTGGCTTCAGTTGGTTTCCAGAGGCGAGGGCGAAGACATCACGGAGCTGGCTACTCCGGCGGCAAGGCGTTCGTGACTTTCGGGCGAGGAATACGGACACGGACACGGACACGGACACGGAGACCTCGCGAATGCCTCCATTTAATTGGCAGGCCATGGCGAGCTTTGTAATCACATTTATAGGTCATTTCATAATTTTCAAGAGGAATAAAGGAAACGGTTGTATAGTGGCCAGCCATCGTCGCATCACGTGTGGCACGATAAATATAATTTACCCGAGGCGCATGTAATTGCCGCGCTGCCCAAATTACCCCGCCCTGTACATACACATGGTATATGTTTATTAACATTTTCACTTTTTTGCAGCCGTGATTGCTCACCTCAGTTCATTTCGCCGCTGCGACTGCTCCCCTTCAGTTTGCTCCACGTCTACCCTGTAGATCCGAATTTGTTTTACATTAGCTTTAAGGACAAATTCGGTTCTAGAGAGGTTTGTGTGGTTCAATATCCAGCGAAATAGCATGATTTCAAATGAAGCCGAAATCAAGTGACAAAGTGAATTTCAAAATTGATTTAATAAGTGAATATTCCTCAAAACAATTAGTTGTATGTGTTTACCAACGAATAAGTGGTTAAGATTAAGTTAAGTTACTTATGTATGTAAATTACGATAGACTTCTACGAGATTGTGAAATGAAGACCAGAAAATTTGAAAATAACAATATGAAATGAAAATGTAACCACCAACTACAATAACAATTTAATAATTCGTTTAATTCCATTATGACTCACTTCAAACAAATAACACTAATTACTGTTGCCAAGTAATAATATTCCATAGCTTACCATAAAATCCATGATAATAAATTGCTGTCTTGACACAATTTTTTGGCTTACTATAATAGATAAGAGTACCGCGTATTAAAGTTTCACTTTTCAATGCCAATGATTCAGAGACGAAGGAGTTTAAAAATTGTACTGCTCTTGTTGACACCACACAAGCTTAAATATAACACATTAAATATAAAACAGGAACTATTTATTAATAAAGCGTGGATGACTGATCGAATTTTCTGGCAACAAAAAAAAATATTTTCATGTTAAACTTTTTTATCATATCTACCTTATCGTATTTTTGCTTACTAATGTTGCGTTAAAATACAAATCTTGTAACAAACACTGTATAAATTCATAAGAATATTAAATAAATATATATATACAGCTTAAGAACATACTTTAATGAAAAAGTAAACGTGTCAATGAAAAAAAATGTTAAATTTAATACTTTTGTATCACTTTCAAAAGGATAAAATATCACAGCGGTGTAAATAAAGATTAAGATAAATGAAGTGGACTTAAATTATTTAATGCTGGTGTAAACGTTTCAGTGTTTGCCAAAAATAATTTGAAATTATTTTCAATAATATGAAAATACTTATAAGTATTAAATAATTTAAAGTGGTCTAAAACTGTTATTAAATATAAATAAAAACTTTAATGTTGTGTTAAATAAATTTCAGCTGCATGTTTGTATTTTGTGGAATCCTAATGATAAATAATATTCTTATCACCATCCCACCACCCAGCAATGTTCTCTTCGTACAATTGAATTAAGCACCGCATTTAAAATTTCTTGGTACCGGACATGGGACACTTTGATGTTATTGCTGAATTCTTTTGGTTTCATTTATATTCCTGCCGACTTCAATTTATTCGATGTGTTGCATGAAATTTACATTCTCACAATTTTGCATACAAATTGCCATTTCAATTTCGCCGAGGGTGTGAGGGCGGTTCCAGGGTGTGTGGGATATCTGTATGTTCGCCCCAGCTAGACATTTGGGTCAAGTCGATTGTGTTGAGTCGATTTGTGGTCGTGTTCGTGTGCGGAGGATTGGCGAAGTTTGCAGTTTTGCAAAAATGGCCATGCACTTTGCCCAATTTGCATAGGACGCCACTTGAATAACATCCGTCGCCCATTAAGTCCGGATACCTTTTTGTTTCCGGGAGAAATTCTATCCGTGTTACAGAGCACATCCATTCGCAACTCTTTCAAAAGATTCCTTGAATTTCTAGTAATTTAGATATTAAAATTGTAATAAATCACGTACAATACAAAATATTCCGATAAGGTTCGATGACAAAATTTTCTATCTTTAGGTGATAAGCCTAAATTTGTTTTTCTTTTTTAACCTTTCATTTGTACACCCAGAGAAATATCATGGTAAATCCAAATATTTAATATTTTTATTTTTAAGTATGGAAATCATCAATTTTAAATTTAAAAAAATTTAAATCTTCAATTTAATTATTGGATAAACCAATTAAATATGTTAATAATTACGTTATCAAGTTTTTAGTTTATTTAAGTAAGATTATATTTTCAAAAACAATGTTGCATTCAAATATTTCAATGTTTAATTTTACTTTGGGGTTTTTCTCTCTAAAAAAGGGTTTATTTTTTTAACTGATTCGATTTGTTTGGGATTTCTACTCGATATTTTTTCAATTACTTCACTGCCGTGGAAAACTATTACCTCTAATTATTACGCTCTTAATATGTTCAATGGTTTTACGCCAGCTTTTGCTAAAACACCTTCCATATTGTAGACATAGAGTTAGGCCAACGACTCTTCCTTGCCAAAATTGTCCTTGTTAATTATCACTTTTTTTAGCTTAACTGTTGCACTGTTAACTGTTTTCCTACAGCCAAACGCTTTCACTCGAGTTTGATTTGTTTAAATGCTCATTTTGCGTTAACTCCGATAACGATTGGTTACTGGTGTAGGTGTAACAAGGCTATTAAGTTTGGGTTTTGCAGAGTTTTGTGGATTTCTTAGTCGGCCGTTTTCCGATGACATCACCACTTACTCAGTTGTTTTAGGCAAAATTGGCCAGTGAAGTACGGATGACGGACAACAACATGGAGTTACCTACACTAGAGCTTAAAAAACGCATGAGGCAGTCGGTAGGAAACTAAATATGAAATTAGACAGAGTGTGGAGAGCCACTAAGTCAAACAATTAATAAACTTCTCGAAACTTTTTATTTTATAGTTTTCTTAATAAAATAAAATATTGAAAAAGTTAGTATTGGGAATTAGGGACGAACATTATAAAAAGGTTTATCTAAGGCTAAGGCTACATAAATTTGGAAAATTTCACTTAAAGCGAGGGCAATTTTTCTTTAGAAATATATAAGTTTAAGTTGTAAAAAAAAAGTTGATATTTTAAAACCCCTGAACCGAAAAAATGCTATAAGAAAAATTTTAATCTTCCTGGATAGACGACACTGTTCAAAAAATCGCGTTATTAAGAAAAAATATGCCCAAGCTAGCAAATGGCACCATTGATTTGTTGACGCAACTTTACTGCTTGAAAGCAAGCAGTGTAAATACATTTTACATTTTACAAAAACGAACGGTTTTCATACCTGCTAATTTACTTATGTTACATTATACATTCTACGGCCATGTGGTTGGGTTATTGGCTAATATTTATCTACGAATCTGTTGTAAGACATATTTAGAAACCTTTTTTCATATTTTTAGTAAACAAAATTTGGTGTTGAGAGGGGGTAAGGGATTTTACTTTTGAAAACTTTGTTTCTCTTGTCTTTTTGTTTAAGGTTTCAAGAATATGTCCTTAGATATTCTTAGAGTTGTGTCTTTTAATACTCCTGGCCTTTAACGCACCAACTCTAACAGCTTAACCTTAAACGCTCTTTGATATTTGAAAACTAGACCGATTCATTTCAAACTTTGTACGCATTTTTTTGTATAAGAAACCGCCCCACCTTTACTTAATTTTTTTTTCTACTTTTAGAGAAAAAAAAATTTTTCAGATAACGTTGGGGGACGATTTGATTATAAAATAACTAATTTTTGTTGGTTGTGGTTATGGTGAACTCTCCCAAGATGTTCTGTAGGAAGCTCTGAAATATATACCCTATATTGTAAAAAGTGTGCCTAATAATGTACAAAAGGACCGAATAAAATTACTCAATCCATATTTGTTTTGTTCCAGAAGTGTGATATTGTTAGTTTTGATATTGTCCAAGATGAGAGCAAAAAAAAAAATGTCGGAGTCAAAACCATAGTGGACAAAACATTTGTCGGAAAACTTGTGATTTCCATTTGGGTGTATCTATTTTTTGCTGGGGTCTGAGGCAGAAGCAAGTCAACGAAATAATCAACAAAAGGACATAAAAAGGCAAGGGACTAAGCGAGCGGCAGAAATGACATTGACGGCTATGTGAACGGAATAAAATTTCATCAAAAATGCCACTGTCACAGACACACTCCGAAGCGAGGGTAAGAATTGCAAATGGTTGAATTGCTACTTTTATGTGGGTCCTTTTTGGATTCTGTTCAAGGGGAACTTTCACTCTGGCGCCGGGATGGTGTGGATTTGATAGCAGAGTGGTGAGGGTGGCTGACGAGAAAGTTGGTGAGGATGTGAGGGATGAGGGTGAGAGCACACATCATATATGGGGATTTGCGGACCCTTCAGGCCTTCTCCAGCTGCCATGGCCATGTCAAGGGGCTGTCAGTAGCAAAAACAAAGCCTTCAGATGGCAGCCATGATAGATACACAGCCAAAAAACAATTTATATTTTAACTATTTCGCATAAAGTTTTGATAGTGGGGATTGTTTTCAAAACCTTGTGGTTGGTTTTAGGTTGATAAAACGTTTAGAATTTTTTAGTTTTTCCTTATAGAAATATATATATAGATATTTAAAAGATCTAATTAAAATTGATAATTGAAATTGGTAAAATTTGTGACACATTTTTATATATAATTGAAAAAGAAAACCCTTTACTGAGAATCGTTTAAGAACGATTTACGCTAAATTCGTTTGACATCTAAAAATGCTTTTCAGAATATATATACTATGTTTACCTAATATTAAAACAATTATATTATTTAATAAAATTGATGTTATTATCTTTTTAAAACTATACCTGTTCTGAAAGTGATTATTTCTTCAGTGCACAAAAAGTGGATTCTAAATTTACAACGAGGAAATTTAGTTCTCTACACCGTGCTTTTCTGAATAAAGGTGTTGACGGCTGTTCCGCAAGTTAAAATTTTAAAAAGTGTCCACAATTTGGGTATTTTTCTTTCAACGCGAATACAAATTCGTAAACTTAACGAAAAGAAGCAGACCAAAAAAGAAAACAGACAAGAATTCTGCTGCATTGTGCAGTTTGATTAATGATCGAATGTCAATTACGGCAGATACTTTTGCTGCTCGGCAAAAGAACTCGCAAAAATAAATGGAATGAGCATTAGGATGAGTGCATAGTATTTGTAGTATTTGTTTATAAGTGGGATACGTAAAGTGGAATTCAAAAATCAACAAGCTAGAAATATAACAAAAACAGAAAAATGAAAACCGATTTGGTAACAATTTGTATTGTGCATTTATTTACTAGCGATTTATCTCCGTCTCTGTTCAATATCAACATATTGTATCGAATCCACCGTATATTTATAGAATTATTCAATGTATCATAAAAAAGCAAGTGCAAAAAATCAAGTTTCCGGTCATATGCTCAATGAATCTACTCGCATTTTTCCATTCCCGTAGAAAATCTGTTGGTTTTGCAACATTTTGAGTTATTTCTCGAGCGGCTCAGTTTGCCTAACTTTTGACTTTTCGCAGCGGTATTCAAAGCATCTTTTTTCCTTTGGCTAATCCAGTCTCATCCAGTCTCATCCTCTTTCATCCCGGATTATCCCAACAGAAGTCAAGGGACACGGCTCGGCCCACTGTCTCAACCCTTTGATTAGAGCCTAAAATTTGTACCCATATTTTTCGTGAGATCCTGGCAGGAAGAAAAGCAAAATACAACGGGAAACAATTAACTGCGTCTACGGTTGCTAATTTCCTTGGATGGACAAACCGTTTTTGCATACGGACACAGCGGAACGCCCACCGAAAACGCCCACGCGCCGTCGGGCGGCACAAGTGAAGGGATTAGAACGGTAAAGGATTCGCAGCCGTCGTGCTGGGATATAGGATTCAGTGTTTCCAGTTTGACTTCTTCCCTCACTCCTTTTGATAAATGCCGCAGGACATTTTAGGCTCTAGCTGGCTACCGTTTTTGCCCCGGGGTTTTGGTCCGTTCCAAGAAATGTCAGCTAATTGTTTTCACCTTGCCAATTAGTAGGCCATTTAATGCCAAAACAAGCCGAAGCCAAAACAAACAACTCTGATCTCCAAAAAGCTGAAGAGGCATCAATTCTCATTAAGTTTGAATTGGAAACAAATTCCAGGGGACAAAGGAGAGCGGGCCGCATAAATAAATCAATGTGCAGCCAAGGCCAGAGCCACAATTATGTGCAACAATGCACCTCAAGTGTGGCCCTCGGCAGGAATCAATCA